GAGACAGACAGAGAGACAGAAAGCAAGAAATCACTCCCCGGGAGGATGGCCACGCCGCAATCCCTTCTCCTCCATTCACCTCACATGCACATGCACCCAGCATGAGTTTAACGCACCAGGCGTAAGTTAAAGCCACTGGTTCTGGGACTCGAACCGTGGTCAAGTACATGGGAGTTCAGCGACATAGCCATTATGTCATCTGCTGATCCTCCACTGGAAAACTTTTAAAAAGGAAAGGAATTGTAGAGCCAAGAGAAATGTTTTAACCCAGTCTGGATTATATTTGTCTTTATACCAATGCAGTTATAAAAACATAATTTTTATTACTATTTTATGGAAGAAAGGGCCCATGAAAGCCCAAGCCCCTAGGGTGCCTAGGAACCCAGAAGTCAACAGTGCAGCCCTGGTCAGACAGGTGGGGTTTAAAAGCCAGTTCCACTGTCTGACCATGTGCGCCTGGACAGCCGAACCCCTGCTCTGAGCCTGCTTCTTCTCTAAGGTGGGGGACAGTACCCATGCAACGATTCTTTACTTGACCAAACTTTAGTGAGGCTTCTGAACCTCGTCCTAGGCCCTGCTGTGTACTTTCTCATAAAATCCAGTTTTAGCAAAGCGCCTGCTAAGTCAGTTTAGCTGGAACCCCCAACCTCAACACTGGGTCACCCTCAATATCTGATCAGGCTCCGCATCCTTAGCCGTCACAGGAGATGCCTGGTCGCTGGCCTGTCTTCAGCAAGGGACCTGACAGGTCAGTTCAGCCGAAATCCCCCCACCCTCGCCATGTCCTCCTCGTGGTCCTCCATCCACAGACCCTACCCTGCTCCTTGGTCACACCTTCCCACCCACCCATGCTGCATTTGAACTTGAGCCCAACTTCTCTCCCCCACTGAAAGCGGGGGGCCTCATGCAATGTTGCGGTACAGAGATGGACAGGCAGCCAAAGCCCCCGGAAAGACTGCAACCTACCCACAAACATGCCTGCATTGACAGAGGAGTCCCTTTTCGTAGCCCCATGGCCCTGTCTTTCTTACTCTGCTTTAACAAGAATCACCAAATAATGATTTTCTTCAAACGTCTTCAACTGTAGAAAGATGAAGTGGAATAAGCACACAGTGGGGCCCAGCGTGGAGCCTGCCACACGGAAGGCACTCAGCCCAGCAGCAGTCCAGGAAAGGCCTGAACCGGCCCTAATGGCACTGCAGGAAGTCTCAGGTCAGCAGCTCTTGGCACAGGAGCTGTGTGGCTAGAGAACCAGGTGGCAGCCAACAGCATGACCCCTCTAACAAGTCCACGCTCCCCTCTGTCGCCATCAGCCCCCCCACACACACACACACA